TTAAGATGATATAATTTCTGCTCAGATCAACTGGCAATGTTAAAACATGCAAGTACAACTCTGTTGGGGTTGATAATTTCTAGGGTTAATAATCAATTTTTCACAAGCAATATGACATTTGACATGCATGGTGGCCTATATATATGACACATGTATATATAATGATAATTAATACAACTAATCTCTTTTCAAACACTTCGTTGGGGGAACATTATAAATGACACAGATATTGATATTCATTAATTGACATATATATGTAATGAATGTACGACACATACCACCATGGATCCATCATCAGTTGGCCGTAGAGGTAATATCGCCTGAGAACTGCTGCTGAAAATTAAGATGATATAATTTCTGCTCAGATCAACTGGCAATGTTAAAACATGCAAGTACAACTCTGTTGGGGTTGATAATTTCTAGGGTTAATAATTAATTTTTCACAAGCAATATGACATTTGACATGCATGGTGGCCTTATATATATGACACATGTATATATAATGATAATTAATACAACTAATCTCTTTTCAAACACTTCGTTGGGGGAACATTATAAATGACACAGATATTGATATTCATTAATTGACATATATATGTAATGAATGTACGACACATACCACCATGGATCCATCATCAGTTGGCCGTAGAGGTAATATCGCCTGAGAACTGCTGCTGAAAATTAAGATGATATAATTTCTGCTCAGATCAACTGGCAATGTTAAAACATGCAAGTACAACTCTGTTGGGGTTGATAATTTCTAGGGTTAATAATTAATTTTTCACAAGCAATATGACATTTGTGGTGGTTCATAATCACACATATAATGATAATTTAATCATACACAACACAGATAGGTATTAACCTATTTCTTTAACACCTAATTATATATAGGTCAATGATGGTCGACATTGATGAGGGAGTGAACAAAGGCATTATTAAATGGCGGTGCCCTTAATTTGTACTTAAATTAGTGCATGTAAACTGGGAAAAATGCAACATAAAGACTTGTTTTGACTTTAAAGAAAATAAAGCAAGTACATTAGCATAGAGATTATAAATAACAGTGTTATTTAATATAATCTCTATGGCCATTATGACCTATGATATCATCAGCTGGCTTCTGATTGGTCATTCTAGGACATCGTTCGGTGATGTCCTAGGAAGACCAATCAGAGCCTTTCCTTTCACGTGCTCATGAGATATTTCGAAAATCTGTTTAGACAATCTTTTTAAAACGTACCATATTTTATTAATGAAAATAAGCTTGAATTTGTGCCGAGAAGTTGAATAGTCTCCTTCGTTGCTTTTGTATGTAAATAATAGCAAACACCTGATCAGACTAGGGTGCGAAAAATCTGGGAGGGGGCACGCGGTTTTATTTGATAAATACACAAGTTGAAAACATAGGAAATTATATCACATATATACCTGTCTCTGCCAATTTCTTCGCGATTGAATCTGTATCAGCCGTGCACGCGATGCAGGATAATTGGGTTTTATTTTGTTCCGATAGTAAACTGAAACATGAAATGAATAGTATATTTCCAAAGATGATTATAGATTAGACCAAGCGCATGCCCTCGGAATATTTCATCCCTCAGGGTAATTTCTTGTGGAATCACCCGAGTGAAAGGTTGATAACTGATATATTATACCGAAAATTTAAAGCTGTTGACAAAAAGTCGTCCGGCGTCTTGTTGCCGTCGGCCATATTTACAATCTGACACCCGTAACGGCAGGCTAGTTTACGAATTCGGGGGTGATGTAAAGTGGAATCACCCTCCCTTGCGGGCAAAAGAGGGTAATTATTCGACTTTAAATTACATGCCCCGGGTAAAAATACCAGGATTTAAGTTCGCAGTCTATGTGCTTCCACAAAAAATCTACTCATCACGTGGTACAAATACAGTTTTTTTATTGGACAATTTGAATCTGAGGTATAATATATAAATTAATTAAATACACTGGACCAAACTTTTTTTTTAAAGCAGGCAAGAAATATCACTGACGGTTATTTGTCACGATTTTCAATTATAGTAAAACTGGAACATAAGTGCTTTGAACACAACCAGCCCTTCCCTCGCTTTATTCTTAGACAAGCAATTCCGATAGGCGATACATGCCGCTTATTTATATTACACAAAATAGGATTGTTTTTCTTCGGTCATTTACAATATTTTATCGTCGCTTAAACTTGTTTGCATGGCACCGATTTTGGTAAAAAAAAGACTTTTTTATACACTAGGCAAATCTACGCGTTTTTTTACACAATGTAATACGATATCTATATGAGACTCGCTGGTAACGATTTGACTCGCCTTGCCAATGCAAACGTCATTTGACCCGTTGGCGTCAGCGCATCACCTAAATCCTATCGGCCTAAGCTTTAGACAGTCACACTTTACTCTTTAATCCGTTCACCTCGAGCTTTACGATGGAAGCAAGTGTTCTTCGTTATGTCGAAGAGATTCATAAATCTATAAAGAAGAACGTAAAAACTCTCGGAGACAACAAAAGAAGTTTGCGTGTTTTCACAGAACTCGTTCGCGCCTTTTACATTTCGCTTTTCGCGAAGGACTCGGGTTAGTTTCAAATAATACCGTATGATATATGGGTGACTATAGTTTTAGGAAACCAGTATTAATTTTGTTTTAGTTTTACATACGGCCCTCACTTTGTTTAATTTATCAATGTTAATATCAATGTTAATCATTCATATATATATATAAACATATATTTATTATCTATTTCAAATTCATTATCATGCAAATCCGAATGACTTTACTTCGTTTACAAAAATATCGATATTTGTTTGCCAATAATTTCTATCACCGTTCGGAAAATCAGAGCAGTATTACTATACTGATATCAAACATATACTCCAAAATTAAACAGTTCACTCAAGATACGAGTTTTTTAAAAAAATTTTCATGTCACATTTCCGGCCGGCGTCTAGCCTCAAGTTGATAAAATCGTGATCATGCAAGAGACTTTAATTACTTCGTTTACAACAATATTGATATTTTGTTTGCCAATAATTTCCATCACCGTTCGGAGAATTGGAATCAGACAATGAGAATGACTTTGAAATAGAGACCGCGAAATATCACTGACCTGAATATTGTGTATTGATCATAGCACCGCGCTTCAACTTTTTCCCCATTATTCATATCGCTGCTTTGAATTTCTACGTGATATACAGGAGTTTTCGGTCGGACGAACATTGACAAGAAACTGGAAAACTTACCCGATGTGACGACGGGGAGACGCGACGACGATAGTCTTGGGGAGGGGACGAGCAGGGAAACGGGGAACGTCTCACGTGGGAAAGGACTAGGAAAAGGCAAACCTGGTCACGTTAGGAAGCCGAACGTAACCGATCGCCAGGAACGGAGACGACAAACCGCATCGTTCCAGAGCTCACGGAAACGTCCAGCCGAGCACGAAAGCGGAAAAATGCCACCGCGAAAGATCGCGCCGAGGCCAACTGCGAACACTCCTCCGCCACCTTTGCCGTTGCCTCCACCGAACAGCCCATCGTCGGCTTCTCAGAGCAGTTCGCCGCCTGCTTCCACAAACACATCATCTCCACCACCACCAACAACAACACCACCACCACCTCTGAGCCTTCGAATCGATGTGAACGAGCCACGACAAAAACTCACAGCGCAGACTCACGAACCCGCCAGCAAAACACAGGTACAATTGATACAGAAATACGCCAAAGCTCTCAGAGACAAACCACCGAATTCTGCTGAGATCTATTTCTTCTGGTTGGTGATGGATCGATGGCGAAACCGATTGGCTCCGCCATTGGTCAACGGCCTTAAACATCATTGGCACGACCTCTCGAATGACGACGAACTTTCGGTCGCAGAGAAGATATTCCACCTTGCTATAACGCCAAACGCAATCACGACCTGCGTCCACCACCTGATTGGTAATATAGTGCGGTCCTACGGTGGGACGAAAGACGGAAATACGACCAGGTTCTGCGAAGACTTGGCGAGCGAAATCGACGACTTGCATTACCAGCGCTACAAGGAAGAACTGCTGCGATGTGCCTGTGAAAATTGCGACGACGTTGTGAAGTTCGACGAAAGTTACTCGAGGGTATTAGTTATAGAATTCTTCACTCCTTGCTTATTGTTATCGCGTAGCGTTCGTTTTGGCTGTAATCACTGTAAGATACCCAGGTTCGGGCATATACGTGTACGGGTAGCCTCATTTCGTTCGCGCTGAATTTCCATCAGTGTTACCTCGACAATATCAACTCGACAATTCTTTTCCATGCAGTAGTAGACTTTAGCCTCTTGAGGCAGGATATTAATGTTATGATCCAAAACCAAAACATATAACTGCATGCATGATATTTCCGTTTAGCTATTACGAAGGCCTGGAGTCGGACGACCACGAACGGCAGCCAGTGTTATTGAAGGACAGACCGATGCACTGCGAAAGCACCGAACTGTATGCGCAAACCCTGCGTACACAATTCGCCGGGCTAAGCAGCTCCAATTTACAACGATGGTTTTATTTCGCCAACACCACCCCGCTGTTCAGTGTCCCTACCCTCGCTATGGCGCCACCGACGACTGTATTGACGTCGACCCTGAAATACCTTGAACCATATCTCCGCGAGAGGGGGTTACAAGATCCGCTGCCGACATCATGGTCAATCCCGGCGGCAGACTGCACCAAAGGTCGCTTGATCCGCGTCGAGAAATCCTCCGTTCACCTATATGATGGCGACTCCTGCGAGATCTCGCTTACGGTGGACAGCGAGCCCGAGCTGCTTCGATTGGCGACGCACAATCACGGCGAGTCGATCAGAGTTCGAATGCTTAATTCGGACAGCCCGGAGACCGAGTATTCTTTCAGCATATACAAACAGGCTGAAAACTCCACCGAAATGTCTCTGTTCCTCACACGCCACGTCGGCATCGAATGCATGCGGGCTGCAAGGAGCTTGCTGTTCGCCGCTCAAGAAGTTTACCTGCAAGTTTACATTGAAGAGGGAATCGCGGTGCCAACTGACCACCATGGCCGCAGGCTCCTAAATATCTTCGCCAAAGGCCAGGACGGAAAGATTCGCAACTTCGCAGAGAGTCTGGCGAGTAGCGGACACACCATGTCCTTCTACACGACCGGTGTAGAAGCAGCGATCGACGCTTCAATGCGAGAAGCCATCGCCGACAAGAGGGGCATTTTCAATCTGCCGGACGAGGCCTTCACCTATCCATTCAGACCGTGGGACATTCGCAGAATTGGCAGGAAAAACGATCACGACCGCGTCTACCAAGACAAACGGGAAATTCTTAATGCCCCAATCGACCCCGGGACAGCTTGGAGACCAGACGAAAAGGTTTCCGCTGCTCATGGTGGCGACGAAATGACCGGCGGGATTCCAGAGAGTGAAACCACCGACCAATTTTTCCTCCAGCTGGTTCCATGCACGCTCTTTTGGGAGAGTAAATGCTACGTGGGAAAAAGCAACATCCCTGGTGCTGGCCGTGGTCTCTTCCTGAAACCGCACAAAGCGATACCCAAAGATGCGCACCTGTGCGTGTACGCCGAAAAGAGCACGAGCCTGGAGGATGTAGAAAAGAGTAAAAGTTCTCGTGTGTACCTGATCACCACCTCGAGAAAATGTCTGCACTTCGACGCGGAGAGAGAACGACCGAATAATCTTGGGAGATTTGCTAACCAGCCGGGCGTGTCGCAAGCGTTCGCCCAGATAAAGGCGATCTCAGCGAAAGACCAGCCAGAAATGTCAGCTGACAACTGGATCGCGATCGAAAACGAACTTAACGAACAGTGCAACGCGGTATTTCACGTCAAAGGTGATCAGCTGGTGCTCAGGACGAAACATCGATTCCCATCGTCGTACGAGCCAACAGAGGTATTCGTGAATTACGGCAGCTTGCGACAATACTGGATTCCCTTGCTCTTGGACGACGAGCACAATAAGGAACTACCAGCGAATATGATAGAGATCGCCAAATGGCTGGTGTACAGCGAGGATTGTAACTGGTCCACACAACATCGTAAGGAGTGGAGTGGCGCTGCTTGACTGATTCGAGAAAACATTGCACGGTTAGTTCTGTTGAGAAGAGCTTTGATCATATGCATGTTGTACATAGTATAGGTACACTGTAATGTATTTTCAACAAATTGAGACCCGGTTTCCTAAAATATTTGTGTGTGTATATAGAACCCATCATTGTAACTAAGTTTAATTTCAACTCAGTTTGAATTTTTCGTTTTGTTGATTGAAAGCCATTCGCTGGACTTCATTTAGTAATTAGTAATCATCTTCAAATTAATTTACATGTACAGATTTTAAATAGTGACACTCTTCACGAACACTCTACGGATATAACGTTATTAATTATAACGTAATTATTTAAGCATTGAATGATTAAAACATATTATAATAACAAATATACAGTTCAAACTTCAGTGGTGTGATTGTTGCTTCAGAGTCGCTTAATTGTACATAGTTTCAGAGCATGGGGGAAAGCGTATAAATCCATAATGTACACTCCTACTTTATTTGAACATCAGCGTAGGAGCAATACATTTCCCGTGCAAAGAGTTCCTATTTAAGAAAAGTTTCCAGAAGTTCATTTTTCTTTGCCCTTATTTCATAATATAAATCGAACACGTTTACTGACATGCGCATAAATGGCCGAGCCAGAATAAGGCAGAGAGCGAGGCTTGGGGCTAGACAGGGCAGGGCGGGGCGGGGCGGGGACTTATACCTGAAATTGTGACTGGTGATCACAACAGCCTAGGCCAACCACTGCGGGTCCGACCATGAATCTAACATAAGAATATAAAGAAATTGAATTGAATTGACACCATGTGTAAAATTGTCGTCAGAAACATCACTGAATAACTTTTTGCATGACTGGCGCTTTGTACTCATTCTTTTTTAAGGTGGTCCGAACCCCCTTTTTAGAGACATTGACAAAAAATACAAATCGTTTTAGTTCAAAATAATGTATTACAATGGCACTTTCGTATTATGTTTAATGATATGAAGTGATAATATATCCATGCACGTGTCGACGTTGACGTCAATAAAAGAGAGTTAGGTTCGTGACTAATTAATTAATCAAAACGATTGTTCAAGACGCGAACAACACTTTTTTAATATCACCAGCGACAGTTTCCTAAAAATGGGAAATACATACGGAGAAGTCGGTGCATTAGCGGATGTTGCAATGCATGCCTGCGCTCTGTTCGATAAATCTGAGAATGAAGTTAACGCTTACCAGTTCATTCAAAATTTCGGTCATGAAAGTTCTCTCGCAGCAGCGGAAGCCCATCACAGCTCATCAGCGAGGTCAATCGAAGACCCGAATAAATCTGGTTCTCTTCAACAACCATCAGATCAGCCACGTTCAGCCAGGTTTGCAACAAGACGAACAAGGCGAAAAATGTCTGCCACCGAAGAAGAACAATTTATAACCGCAGTTTCCAATTTGCGACGAGACGAGAACTTACCCATAAAGCTATTAATCAGAGCATTGGACAACGGCGATTTTTGGAAGTTGTGTCCTTCTGCAAAAGAATTCACAAAACAACAAATTAGAGACAAATACAAATCGTTAATTAGAAAAGAGAAACGCCTAGCTAATAAAATGTAGAAAACTATTCAGTGCACATCATAGACATATAATAATGACCGACAGCACCCTTAATACCGTTTTATTTAAAATGTATGCTACTTTATATTTTATAACATGTTTTAAGCCGGAATAAACCTTATGGTTACGGAAGTTCTTGATAGTATATTCGAAAACAAAATCGATTTAAAAATAAATGACTTCGCTGAAGCGCATTTCAAGTTTTATGTATTGCTGTCAGCCCCAGACCGGCACGAAAACCTAACCCTAACCCTAACCCTAGGGTTATACCAAAAATTTAAAAAGTTCTCGAAGAAATGTGAAAAAATTTTTATAATTAATAAAAAACTCTAATTATCCCTAAACATCCCTTTATAACCCTAGGAAACCCTTCCAAACCCTAAAAATTTAAGAAATTAAATTTAGCTATCCCTAACCCTAACCCTTACCCTAAAAAAAATCCAAAATTTTAAATGCCTTAAAAAAATCTGAAAAAATTTTTAAAATAAAAAGAATTTTATATTTATCCTAAAACTACCCTCTATGTTCCTAGGAAATCAATTAAACTTCTAAAAACGTAATTTTATTTTTAGCTTAGCTAACCCTAACCATTACCCTAAAAAAATCTAAAATTTTACTTTGCTCGAACAAATCTGAAAAAATGTTTAAAATTAAAAAAATATTTTTTGGAGCCTAAAACAACACTTCATGTCCCTAGAAACCCTTTTAAACTTGCAAAAATTAAAAAAGAAAAAAAACCAACCCTAACCCTAACCCTTGATCCCATGGCAAACCCCAACCCTAAGGCTGACCCTTTTTCGACTCTGAGACCCGTAATTTTCTCTCCTCCTCTCTTCTCTCCTTTTTCTTCCCCCTCCTCCCCCCTCTCCCTTCCTCTTCCCCCTCTTCCCTCCCCTCTCCCCTTCCTCCTTCACCCTTCTCCTTCCCCTCCCTCCTCTTCTCTTTTTTCTCTTTTTTCCTCTTTTCTCCTTTTTTTTTTCCCCTTTTCTCCCCCCCCCTTTTTTCCTCCTTTCCCCCCTTTTTTTCTCCCCCTCTTTCCTCCCTTTTTTTTTCTCCCTTTTTTTTTCTCCCTTTTTTTTTCTCCCCTTTTTTTTTCTCCCCTTTTTTTTTCTCCCCTTTTTTTTCTCCCCTTTTTTTTCTCCCCTTTTCTCCTCCTCCCTTTTCCTTCCCTTTCTTTTCTCCCCTTTTTTTCCTCCCCTATTTTTTCTCCTATTTTTTCCTCCTTCCCCCCTTTTTTCTCCCCTTTCCCCCCCCTCTCCCCCTTTTTTCTTCCCCTTTTTTCCCCTCCTCTCTCCCCCCTTTTTTTTCCCTTTTTTCCCCCCCTTTTTTTCTCTCCTTTTTTCCTCCTCCTTTTTCTTTCTCCTTCTTTCTCTCCCCCTTTTTTTTCTTCCCTTTTTTTCTTCCTTCTTTTTTTTCCTCCCCCTGTTTTTTTTTCCTTTCCCTCTTTTTTCTTCCTTCTCTCCCCTTCTTTTTCCCCTTCCCCTCCTTTTTCCTTCCCTCCCCCTTTCTTCTCCTTCCTTCCTTCCTTCCTTTTTCTCTCTTCTCTCTTTTTTTTCTTTCCCCTCTTTTCCTTCTTTCCCTTTCCCCTTTTTCTCTCTCCCTCCATCCCTCCCTCCCTCCCTTCTCTCTTTTTTCCTCTCTTTTCCTTTTTCCCCTTTCTTCTTCCTCCATCTTCCCTTCCTCTCCTCTCCTCTCTCTTTTCCTTTCTCCTTTTTCTTTCTCCTCTCCTTCCCTTCCCCTCTCTCCCTCTTTCTCCTCTCTCTTTTTTTTCTCCTCTCTTTTGTCCTCCCCTTCCCTCTTTTTTCTCCTCCCCTTTTTCCCTTCCTTCTCTCTCCCTCTCTCCTTTCCTCTTTTTTTCCCTTTTTTCTCCCTTCTCTCTCTCCTTCTCTTCCCTTTCCTCTCCTTTTTTTCCCTTTCCCTTCCCCCCCTTTCTCTCTCCCTTCTCTCCCTTCCTTTCTCTTCCTCTCCTTTCCCTTCTTTTCTTTTTCCCATCTTTTTCCAAACTTTTTCCAAACTTTTTCCAAACTTTTTCCCTTATTTCTCCAACTTTTTTCCAACTTTTTTCCAACTTTTTTCCAACTTTTTCCCAATATTTCTTCCATCTTTTTCCCAACTTTCTCCCAACTTTTTCCAAACTTTTTCCCAAACTTCTTCCAAACTTTTTCTAACTTTTTCAATATCTTTCTCCAACTTTTTTTAACTTTTTTCTAACTTTTTCCAACTTTTTCCACATCTTTCTCCAACTTTTTTCCCAACTTTTTTTCAACATTTTACACATCTTTCTCCAACTTTTTTTCCAACTTTTTAACAACTTTTTAACAACTTTTTTCCAACTATTTTCCAACATTTTTCCAATTTTTTTCTAATATTTTCTCAATTATTTTCCAACTTTTTGCACACTTTTTTACACACTTTTCACACACTTTTCACACACTTTTTACACACTTTTCACACACTTTTTACACACTTTTCACACACTTTTTACACACTTTTTATACACTTTTTACAGACTTTTTTCATAATTTTTACACACTTTTTACACACTTTTTACACACTTTTTACACACTTTTTACATACTTTTTACATGCTTTTTTACACACTTCTTACACACTTTTTACACACATTTTACAAACTTTTTACACACATTTTACACCATTTTTACACCATTTTTACACACTTTTTTACACCATTTTTACAAACTTTTTACACACTTTTAACACACTTTTTACACACTTTTTTACAATATTTTTACCCCGTTTTTACACCATTTTTTCACCCTCTTTACAATATTTTTTACACCATCATATCTTGCATTTTAGATCATTTTTGACAGTTTTTTAAAAGTTGAAAAAATGCTCTAAATTGAACAAAATCGTAAGGTTTACCCCTTACCATTTTGGTCATATTTCATGACTTTTTTAATTTTTTAAAAACTTTCTAAAAATGCTAAAAATGGCTTCCTAAGACTAATATCTTTCAATTTAAAGCATTTTAAAATACTTTTTGAAATGTTGAAAAAGTGGTCAAAATTGACCAAAATGGTAAGCCTTACCATTACCATTACCTTACCCTTACCATTTTGTCAATTTTGACCACTTTTTGAACTGTTCAAAAACTGTCTGAAAATGCTAAAAATGGCTTCCTAAGACTAATATCTTTCATTTTAGAGAACATTTGGAACAATGAAGAAGTCGTCAAAATTGACCAAAATGGTAAGGCTTCCCCTTACCATTTTGGTCAATTTTGACAACGTTTTCAACTGTTCAAAAACTATCTTAAAATGCTAAAAATGGCTTCATAAGACATTAATCTTTCATTTTAGAGCATATTTGGAACATTGAAAAAGTCGTTAAAATTGACCAAAATGGTAAGGCTTCCCTTTACCTCTTTGGTCAATTTTGATGACTTTTTCAACTGTTCAAAAACTGTCGTAAAATGCTAAAAATAGCTTCCTATGACTAATATCTTTCATTTTAGAGCATTTTGAGAAACGTTTTGAAAAATGAAAAAGTAGTAAAAATTGACCAAAATGGTAAGGCTTACCCTTTACTGTTTTGGTGAATTTTGACGACTTTTTGAACTTTTCGAGAAATTGTTTTAAAATGCTAAAAATGGCTTTCTAGGACTAATATCTTTCATTTTAGATCATTTTTAGACAGTTTTTTAAAAGTTGAAAAAGTCATCAAAATTGACCAAAATGGTAAGGCTTACCCCTTACTGTTTTGGTGAATTTTGACGACTTTTTGAACTTTTCGAAAACTGTTTTAAAATGCTAAAAATGGCTTCCTAAGACTAATATCTT